GGCAGCACAGCCAGATGAGACCAGCATCTGCAGCCCAGTGCCTAGGACTATGAGGGGCAAGATGGGATTACTTGTTTGAAGGTGGAGCACCTTAGGGGAAGACGATTAGGATGAGGGGGAGAGGAGTGTTAAGGCATAGACAGGATGTATTCAAACCCTTTTCTGAGGCCAAATGAAATCAGCCCAACATCTTGACTGTAATGCACTGGGAACCTTCTCTCCTAATCACATTTCTCAGTATCAACTGCTACAGATTGTCAGGCACAGTGTGGGGCTGGGATGCCCCACTGTGGGGACAGTGTTATTTGTTGAGCCTACGCTGTGTTCCCAGGTGGTACGTTACAAAAGATGACTGTGCTGCCCCTGCTGGGGCAGAAGGCCCCATCTCTCCCATGAAGTTTTACTGATGGATTGCAGAGCAGTGATACTATATGGCGCAACACATATCCATCACCTGGAAAACATGCACAAGAGCAGGACATATGGCTTTATACAGAAACCAAGCATAGCCTGGTCCTGAAACGTATGCTGTGTGTTGCTTATTCTACCCCTCTGGCTCTGTTCTTTGAATTCAGCTTTACTGTGCCCAGCACTCTGGATGAGCTAGGAGTGCTGAAGAGCCTTGGTAGGAGGCTGTCTACTTACTTTGTCAACTTTGAGAAGTTTTGTAGCAATGTGGAAAGACTGCAGATCCTGTTTTGTCCCAGTTATGAACTTATGAATGCTGTTTGTGGGTTTGGGCATCCAAAAAAGCAAAGGGTGCTGAAACTTGGCTACTTGGTTGATTCAGATGTTTTCAGTGGCAGCAGCAAACAGAGGGCCGCTAGCCCTGCAGTTCTTAAAAAGCAATAAAACATGCCTGATTTTAACTCATTGGTTTGCAACTACTGAATGGGAACTAGTCTCACATACCTGGTAATTCCTACTTGCTGCTGCTTAGGGCACCATTGAAATCATACCTCATGCAGGCAGCACTGAGAGGGCAGAGCACAGAAAGATGGCAGCAAGACTCTGACAGCTGTATGCTTGAGGTTTTGTAAGCACTTAGGAAAGCACCACTCACCTTCTTTTTCTTCTGCTCTATGACGGTGCAGTAATGGAAAGGCGTTGCTCTGAAGTGTGTTTGAGAGGGTCCATCAAATGCCCCAAGGAGCTTTACCACAATGAGCAGATCTGTGGCTGCAGTCCATGTCGCCCCTTCTTGCCTCTTGCACCCTCCACAGGGGAGACAGCCCTCTAGGGATGCAGCCACCTGTTATTGGCTGCAGTTGTCAAGCAATGGGTGGTGTGGACTTGTTGATGGTTGTTTTGAGACGGTGGGATGGGAGAGGAAATGCAAATAGTTCAGGCAGTGAGGACTGAAAAGCAAAGCAACGTTTTGTGTGTGTTTTCCCTCTGATTCGGTTAGTGCTGGTGGATTCCTCCACCTGACACATGGGTCTTTCTGTTCTGGTGCCTCTGGAGGGATGAGTTTTGTGAGTGCCACCACCAGGTCTTCTGCCTGGTCCCTGTATGGGTCAGAGCCTGGCTTACGAGCAGCTGCCTCTCACTAATAGTTGCACAACAGTCCAGTCAGTCATATATTTTCAAAGTGAAAGAAACAAATCTTTTGGGGGATATACTTCATGGTGGCTGCAGAAGAAAATGACAGCCGGAAGATGACGACCAGTTAGTTTTGGAAGGTAACTGTCCTGGAGCCACTGGACTGTTGGCAACTACCTTTTTGGAGCAGGTTTTGATACCTTGGAGAGGGAGTTTGTCTCATTTTAATTGGGACTAACCATATTCAGAGCAGTGTGTCCATCTCCCTGCCTTTTCAGCTTGGCAGTCTCCTTTATTTTTCCCCTGCCATGTTCTGGTGATTTGAAAAATGATCCATTCTTCAATGCATCCCTGGTAATTTGGACCACAGTGTTGTATTTCTTCTGAGGCTGACGCTTTTCAAAGCTGCAGCTTGTCTTTCTGCAGCAGCTCTTGCCACCTCTCTATAACATATAGCCTTAACAGGGAGAAAGTAGGTCTGAGGGGCTGCACTTTTCCTAGGTGCAAAGAAATTTGAGGTGACACCACAGTCAACAGAAAGCATTTATTTTTTCAGGTAGACTACAGATAAAGTGAGTAACCAGACCTTTTATGAAGTGAAGGACTAATTAGGGAACACCATCACTAATTTCATTTTGCAAAGCACACTGCCGATCTCTCAATGCAGTTCCCATTGTTGGTATACGTCTATCTGTTTATGTACATATATCAGTAAATATTTATTAAATAAACATGCAGGTATGCATTCTATTCCATACCAAAAGAGACTCCGCAATTCTGTTTGTTATCTTAGCACAGTTAGTAGGTTCCAAAAAAACACACAACCTTTTTAGCAAGACTTAACTGAAGATCTGCATGAGTTTAGTTTAGATCTACTGAGTTAAGGGGGATATTGCCATACTGATTTAGGGCAAAAATTTACGTATTTTTTTAAAAATCTTGCAAATTCTGCTATGAAAACAGCTATTTTGTTGCAGGTGAAGAAATTTTCCCTCAAGCGTCCACCTTTCGTTTCCAAAACATTCCTTTGCAGTGGCCATCACACTATAGGGGCAACAGGACCAGAAGCTGAATGTATTCAGCTTGATTTTATTGCCACCAATAACAGATGCATTGTAAGTGAGCAGCATCTGAGGAACAAGGCAGATAAGTAAAATCAAAACTTTTCATGTTGATAACTAGAGGTGTTACAGTGCGTGTAAATGAGAGCAGGCATTCTTCAGACTTACCTTGACCATGTGTTCGGCTTAGGCCCTGATCCTTCAAGCATTTATGTACATACTTGACTCAGGCACATGCGTCGCGTCTTTCAAATCTGATTCCTATTGAAAATGGGACATCCAACACATTCAATGACGGCATCACCTTGTCCTTACTGCAGGCCTCTACTTTAGTTGAGATTTTACTTGGAAACTTCCAGACACCCCATCCCAGCAGCCACTGGATCTCAGGTAAAAGCTGTACGAGTACTTGGGTGAATAGGGAAGGCAGTATTCTGCATAGATTGCTATAAAGTCAGAAGTACTCCAAGATGCAGTGTGATAGCTCTATTATATAATTAGCTGAAATTCAGTCCTAAGCCCAGATTTCTTACATCTGTACTATGGGGACGAAGCCAGGACTTAGAATAGGTGTGAAACATGATAGGCGAGAAATTTCAAGTCTGCACCACCCTGAATGTAGGTTTACCTGTCTGCTTACTTATCTGTAGCGTGTATGGCACTATGCACCATGTGCCTGGCTCAGCCACTTCAGGTTTCCCATTTCCTCTAACAGTGAAGTCATGTAGCCAGCTCCACAGAGATGAGTTATCTGTGGATCCTTCCCGGGCCTTCAGCTCTAGTGTTGTCACCTGCAAGATGTAAGGTAGAACAGATTTACTGTCAGCTTGGACTCCTGCTTCAGGCAGGCTGAAGAACTCTGGGGCTAAGCCACAGATAGCAAGACATATGTTAGAGCCAGGCTGGGACAGTGCCATTTCACCCAAACGCCTATGGTAAGTACAATATATCTGTAGCTTACCTGCATGCATTTAAGGGAATGCTCTCTCTGGGTTGCTACCACCTCCTCCTCCTCCCTCTCTCCATACAGCAACATGGTGTACAGATCAATTAGAAAAGGACTGACTTTTTGCAGAGACCGTAGTCTGCAAAGACATAGAGTACTTGCAGATCTGGGTGACTTTCCAAGATCTGCTGTTAGCCTGCTGGGGGACTTTCAGAGAACGTTTTGCCCTTAAGTTTCCACAACTTGAGGAATGATACTGACCTACTCTGAAAAGTAGGTTGAGCAATACTGATGGAAAGGAAGTTTCCAGTACCAGCTCCCATGCCTGTTGTCTCCATCTTTTGTGATAGAGTAGGCAGGGTTTAGGTGATGCTAGCACTGTAAGTAAAACTTGTGTTGATTAACTATTTTTAACCCAATTCACCTGTTGAGAGTGGTCTGAGCAGTGTGACTTGTCTTTAGCAATAATGATGTTGTATTAAAAAAAAATTTTAATAAATGAATGGGCTGCAGTAATAACATCGATGACCCTACCTGATTCAGCACCAGCTGGAGATCAACTAGGATGGAAGAAAAACAGCAAGAAGCGTATTAAGGGCTGAAGCCTCAATTCTGCAGTAGGGCGCAGAGACAAATCTCAACTGGTTTCAGCGGCATCTTACACAAAAACCAGAGTCCCCTACGCGAAGCACCTGGGGCTGTACTTAAAAGCCATCCAAACTTTCTGTCAGGTATGCCGCCTCATTGGATTGGCGTCTTTA